ACTTTTACAGAGCCAACTCGCTGGCACAGGGCTGGCTGATGGGTGACAGAGCAGTCCCCAAAGCACACAACTGGGCGTTTCCATGTCTGGGCCCGGGCCCAGCTCCTTACCAGCTACTGCAGGGTCACAATCCCACCTGAACCCCTAAATCTCCTCTCTTCCGTGTGTCTGGCAAGAAATGCGCCCCCCGCCTTGGGTCTGAGGTCAGCAGGGCTGGACACACATGCAGACCCGAGCCTCCTGCGTTTCAGCCCATCCGAATGTTGTCAACGCTACGATGCCCAGCCTGGCCCAGGAAAGTGAAAGGCTCACGGTTTCCTTGCCAGTGCTCCTGGCTTCTCGCCGGAAAGCTGGAAGGAGCCTAGGTGTGCCCCAGATGTAAGTATCTCCCCATCAGCCCTTTGCAACAGCGGTCTTACCAACTCCGGTCCTTCAGAAATCCAGTCAGTCCTCCTTAAAAATCATGAGAATTAAATAAAAATAATACAGGCTGTCCTTGCTATGAATCCAAGCCATGTTCCAGAAAACTTGGACTTCTAGCAAAACAACCTAGCGCGGGGAATTTTTTTCTGGCGGCTGACTTCCATTTGTGCAAATTGTTGATGTTGGGTTTTTTTGGCACAACTTACGAGCGGGGAATGAGTGGACTTACAATGCATCAATTCCTACAAGCGTCAACAGGAGGGTTGTGAGCAAGACACAAGAAGTCATTCTTCCGTTCTACTCTGCGCTGGTTAGGCCTCAGTTGGAGTATTGTGTCCAGTTCTGGGCACCGCCTTTCAAGAAAGATTTGAAGAACTTGGAGAAGGTCCAGAAGAGCAACGAGAATGATGAAAGGTCTAGAGAACATGACCTATGAAGGAAGGCTGAAGGAATTGGGCTTGTTTAGTTTGGAAAGCAGAAGACTGAACGGGGACATGATAATGGTTTTTAAGTACCTAAAAGGGTGTCACAAGGAGGAGGCTGTACCCCCTGGACTTCTCTCAAGTGCCCCTAAGGGGACTCTACCACTGCCCTACTCAGCTGCATGTTCTGCATATGGGAAAGTGGGTCGTTCAGCATTTAGGTGGCTAATGAGATTCAAAGGACCTACAAGCCTCCATGCAAGCCAGGAAAGGGTTAACGGGTTACTGAAGGCTTGATTGCCTCACAGGAAGGCACCTAGGCTATGTCTACACTGACACTGACACGATCTTGGGGTGGGGGGGTTGGTCCTCACTTGTGTGCAGCCCCCGACTGATTTTTCTCTGAGCCAGTGGCCCTGACCCAAGAAACCTCCCCCGCTCTAGGAGATGTGCTGTGAGCCCGAGGGAGCTCGTAAGGGCGGCTGTGTTGCCATGTTGTGGCGAAGTGAAAGGCTCTGGAAAGAGCCACCCAGCTCCAAACGCAAGGGTCAGGATGTGTTTGCACAGACCACTCTTCCTGTTTGCTGCTAATGAAGCGGGTGGTAGGCGAGGGGTGTGTGTGTGGGGGGGGTACGTGCACACTCGGCACTGCAGCTCTCCCCACAGTGTGTGGGTGTGGGTGTGGCATCTCTCCCCACAGTGGGTGCATGTGTGACAGCTCTTCTCACAGAGTGTGTGTGTGTGTGTGTGTGAACTCTTCCCAGTGTGTGCATCTGTGGGGTGTGCGTGCAGCAGCTCTCTCCATAATGTGTGTGTGTGTGTGTGCGTACAGCAGCTCTCCCCACAGTGTGTACACGTGTGTGGCCATTCTCCCCACAGAGTGTGTGTATGTATGTGTGTGAGCTCTCCCTACAGTGCGTCAGCTCTCCCCAGTCTGTGTGTGTGTGTGCGTCAGCTCTCCCCACTGTGTCAGCTCTCCCCAGTGTGTGAGTGCATCAGCTCTCTCCATTGTGTGTGTGTGTGTTCAGTTCTCCCCACAGAGTGTGTGTGTGTGAGCTCTCCCTACAGTGTCAGCTCTCCCCTGTGTGTGTGTGTGTGTGCGCGCGTCAGCTCTCCCCACTGTGTGTGAGCTCTCCCCCGTGTGTGAGCTCTCCCTACAGTGTGTCAGCTCTCCCCACTGTGTGTGTGTGTCTGTGTGTGAGCTCTCCCCACAGTGTGTGTGTGTGTGTGTGTGTGTGTGTGTGTGTGTTCAGCTCTCCCCACAGCGAGGTGAGTGAGGGCTGCTGATTCTCTTCCCTCTGTGCCGCGGGGCTCTCGGCAGCACCTCTGCACGCTGCAGCCACCCACACACATGCCGCTTGGCCTCCTTTGGGCGCAGCTCTCCGGGGTCTGTTCTGTGCTCAGCACCTGGGCGTCTCAGCGTCTGCCCACATGACTCAGCTCCCAGAGCTGCTAATCTGCTCGCCCCCCCTCCCCCGCACAGGCAGGTGCCAACACCCCCGGGGGAAGCCAGCGCAGGGCTGTCTGGCACCCAGCACCGCAAACAAACGGGCAGTGGGCAAAAGCCAGGTCCCGACCCAGATCTGCTCCCCCTGACCCGGCTCGGCAACGGGGCCTCCCTGCCCTCCAGGAGCTGTGGGGAGCACGGCGAGAGCCCGGGCAGCCACGGGCCATGGTGCCGTGGCCCACAGGGGCTCTTTCCACACCAGCTGGAGCCACGCGACCCGGCGTGGAAGGAGGGAGTAAAGCAACGACGGAGCGTGAGCTCCAGGGGGCAGCGCCTCCTCTTGGGTGTTTGTACAGCGCCAAGCGCAGCCCGTACCGAGGGCTCTGAGCATGTGCCTGGTCCGTGCCCTTTAACCCTGTGCAGGTTTAATCACTGCACCATCATTAAGCCAGTTGCCGGGGAAGCAAATAAATTAATAACATCATTGCTCGTTACTGGGCCAGGCCTGAACTCTGGCAGGAATCCTGCTAATGAGGCTCTGGCCTGAGTGGAGGGGGGATAACAAGAGAATGGGTGTAACAAAGTCCATTTCCGGTTTTTGGGCTAATGCTTATGTAGCCCATGTCCCCACCAGGGAGCTGTCTCTTTAAGAACCCCCCTCGGGAAGAAGCAGGAGGGAGTAGTGGTTAGGGCACTGTTAGGTGGATTTTGCACCCCACACTGGGCAGCTTCTGGAATTGGGTGGGGTAGTTTAGGGTCTGTCTCTGCGGTGGGGGTCAGACCCCATGAGCCAGCAGGCAGGGCAGCTGCTTTGCTAAGGGCCTGGTACTCAGAGAGCTGGGGGAGAGGCTGAGCTGGGAGCAGAGAGCAGGCTGCTGCCCCTCGGTTGGCAGCAGAGAGCGCTGATCTTACCCCCCGACCAAGGCACATGGGCATGTGAATTCTAGCCAAGGGTAGGGTTGCCACGTGTCTGGGATTGGCCCGGACAGTCCGGTATTTGCAGCCTCTGTCTGGTTAAAAAAAAACCCAGAAAATATCAGACATGTAAAAAAATTTTTTTTTTTTTTTTTTGCTCAGCCAACTTTTCCCCTGCCCTGTTCGGTATTTTTTGTGAAAGTATCTGGCAGCCTTAGCCAGGGAAACCGGGGAGGGAAAATAACTTTGGTGTGAGTTGTGAGCTTGGAAAGTTGCTTGACTTTAGCAAAACTCTTCTAATTAAACTTTCTCAGCTGGCGGGATTCTTTGCATGTCGTAACGAGGAAAGAGCCCTTTCTGTTTTGCTGGTATCTCCTTGTGGGTTTTCCTGTAACAGGGTTTTCTCGCCCTCTGTTCACTTCTGCCTTAGCTGCCTGATTAATCAGTGAGCTCAGAGGTCAGCGTCCTTTTCAAACCAAAGAGCCAAACTACATCAAAACTCAGAACAAGTGGGCAACAAAGAGCCGTAGAAGAATGCCCATTTGCATGACTGAAAATATACAATGTAATATTATTGACAATAGACATGATGATTAATAATAGCAAAGAAACATTGCACTCACAGACTCTATTTAAGGGGACTTCTGTCGCTGCATCTTTTCGCAAATTTCTTTGAAGTTTACATCATAACTGGTCAAGTCCAGCTTCAGGCACGCCTTCAGGATGTCTTCTGTCAATCTTATGGCAGGGATGGAGATGTGGGGGTGCAGGATTTGGGGTGCATGAGGGGCTCAGAGCACAAGGTTGGGGTGTGGGGGGGGGTTGGGAGTGTTACGGCAGGGGGCTAGGGGGGGGGGGGGGGCGGGGGTTGGGTT